TCTTGATTTAGGGGTGGCTCATCATCTCTCTCCTCACTTCTCTCCTCTACATCATCACTCAATCCAATGTGACATTCTTAAAGGCAATATATGGGTAATTATAGTACTTGCCCAGCAAAGGTCTCAATTGCTAGGGAAGCCACATCACCGTGCCCAAATGCCTCGTTTGCGTGTACAATCCGCGCGTGCCCGTGGCAGCATCGGGCTCGCCCCAAGGAAGCGGGAGCCGCGCGGAGGCGTGGCGGGTGGAGGCACGTGGCCTGACGGGCCCGACACGAGCCGCGATACGTCGGACCACACGGCCGGTCGGGCCCACCGTCCAGTCGTACCATACGGCCCTACCCGACGAAAGCACTGGACCCCCAGCTCGGATCTCTGACCGCGACGTATCAAATAAACTACTCGCTCGGAAGCGGAGTTCCAACGACCCGATAGCCAACGAGCAACGCGATTGGCTGACTCATCCATGAATTGACGAGTATAACAAAGTACTTATGTAGTACACTATTTTTTTAATAATGAAATATAATATCCCGGCCTTTGCTAAAAAGAACTACAGCCAATTATTACAAAGATCAACTCCAGAAAAAAAATGTAGTTCAAGACAAGTTGAACACATCAAACAAGAGAAGAGAGGACCCAAACTGAGAAAAGTAAAACAAAAACTCAATCTATATAGTACATTATATTGATACATCCTAAAGATAAACCTTTATCCATATTTATATTATTAGAATGTTGATTGGATTTTTATAAGACATAGAGAGTAGTACGTAATACTAAAGTAGTATTAATCTTTATTTAGATGGAAAAGATCTGAATTACTCGTCTAAACTTTTAAATTTTTACAGTAGTTCGATTTACCCCCTCAAACTAATACCTAAGCTTATCAACCGGAGAAATTATGCCCTAACCGATTTCACAACGGTATCGATCCTACGTGACGCACGCGTGGCAACGGTTTAGTCATGAAACCAAAGAAATAATATTTTTAAAAAGTATGACGAACCCCACATGACATCCACTACTTCATCTTCTTCCTCCCCCCCTCTCTCTCTCTCTCATGTCAATCGACGGTGTTGCAAGCTTCCACGTCACCTTGCTCATGGCCGCATTGCCCCTACCTCAATTTCCCCCCTCCTCTATCGCTTCCGTCCAAACCACTCGGTGCAGATGCCTAAGTTTATCTAGAGCTCCACTCTTCTCAACCATGGCTATAACGATGGAGGAGGCACCTCCCTCTCTCTTTGTCTCCCTTGCACGCGCGCTCTCTCTCCGCCGGCACTGATAAGGGTACATTTGGCCATTTCAAAACAACTGTCACCGGACTCTACGATGTCAGGATGGGGAGACGAGGGAGAAGTTGAGGCTACCACTATTATTGGCAATCTAGGTGACACGTGACAACATGATAGCTAGCCGAGGGAGGCATACCCTGGTAATGGCAAAATGAGCTCGCTGCCACCATATTCACCGAAGAGGGCAAGATTGGAGGCGTTCATGAGCTTGGAGCATGGGGGCAGACTACAAGGACAACATTGTGATGACAATGGTGGCAAGTTGAGCAAGGACAAGGAAGAGTAGAAGACACCGATGAGCAACAGGCGACAACCTAGGTGATTCACGGGCATAGATCTGGAGAGAAAACCAAAGGAAAGTGGCGACATGACCATGTGAGCATGGTCTCACTCCATGGGACGATGATTGACACCGCTACATGCTCCTCCACGACGATTGCCGCCGCCATGGGCTCCTCAAGAGTTGGAGAGCGGGCACCTTGCTGATGCCCGCCACTGGTTTGATAATATGCCGCAGCAGGAAAGGGAATAGAAGGAATGAGCAAATGCCATGTGGGTCCAACGTTATTTTTTTCCTTCACAGTAAGCCATGATGACTGGACCATCACATAAGTGAGTTTAAGATTCTAAGAAGCAGTTGATTAATAGTCAGCTTTTGAGAATTTGGAAAAACTGAGTTTCCCAACTTCTGACTTATAGTTCATTGTCTGGATTTTGTAACTATGGATTCTCATAATCTAAGTGACAATTTGGACTATTTGGGGAGTTAAAAATTCTGAGAGAAGCTACAATTATTAGAAACTCCTCCAAACAGGGCCTTAGGAGATACTAATTTGTTTGGTTTCAGAAGCTTAAGGGTGTCGAATATAGTTCAGGAAAGGGATAATTGGACTACCACAATAGAGGATAAATCACTTTTTTTTCCTATTTAGATTGCCAGTGCAATATATATGGCCTATTTATTTGTTGTCATTTTTAACCCTATCATTTTTTTTGGTAGAGCAATCAACCGAACATATTCTTACCATTTCTACCTTACTAAAGTTCGGTAATTTTGGATGCTTTCACTCATAAAATCTCTACCAAATTTTGGTGAGGCTAGAATTAATGTGTCAAAATTTAATAGAGTTGAAACTAACAATTAAAGTGAATATGCCCACAATCTCTTTATCAGGACTATGTTTTAAGCTATTCTGGTAGACTGGTACTATAGTACCTATGAATCTTGATGTGCTCATTCTAGCTTATCAACTAGATTGGCCACTTCTATTGTGGCTGACTAATCACTCTTATTAACAATTGGCATTTGGTTCAAACATTGTTACGCAAGTACAGTTCAGCTTTTAATACAAAACAGGTGGGTTTTCTTTTTAGTTAGGACAAGTACTCGAAAACTTTCTGCTAACACACACCTCTTTCCTTTGCAGAAACATGGAGTCTCTTCAGAGCACATGCATCCGGTTAAGCAGGGCTCCCTGATAGGTCCATCTTAACTAACTTAATTTAATTTAGGGACAAGTCATACATGCTAATCACCCCAATTAACAAAGTTCTTAAGCATAATCGAGAATGTTTCGTCGCGATGAAGCTTGCAAGACTGTCTAAACACGTGTAAACTATATTCCGCATTGGCGCAGCTAGAGGCGGATCCAGTATGAGTGCGGCGGGGTCTTAAGCCTCCGCTACTGACGTGAAGAGTATAAGAGCCCTCACAAAGATTTTACTAAATTTTTTTACTATATGTAGATTGGAGGGGACTATAACTCTATAACTCTATCTAGTTTGCTCAGATTTTACTATTATTTTTTTTTCTAGATCCGCCATAAGAGCGCCACGAATCATGTCGTCCCTCCCTGGTAGTCATGATCTGGGACAAATCATCCTGTGCACGGTGGATTAACTAATCAAGCTGCCATCTGATTGAATCAGGCTCACGGATTTCTCATTTCTGGCAGGCTCGACATGAACCGATTGACGACGGTCACTTGGAACCGGTGAACGTCTACCACCAGCTGACTTTGATTGACATGCGTGGACGCGTGAGAACCATCATTTGTCGTCAGGCAACAATTTGCCTAAGATTCATAAGTGATAGTACTACGTAGTACGTGCTTATACGACTCTAATGCAACTGTTTATATATGATGACGATGAATTGATGATGATGATGACATGGGATGCCTAATGCTTTCACCTATACCCAGTCTGATTCCATACTCTCGAGTCATTGAGCCGTCCATCGTTTTCCTGTGATGTCGGCTTGATTCGTACCAGTACAATCTCATTCTCAGAATTAAAGCGTGCTCAAGTGGGACATGAACCCGGAGGCGACAATTGACCGGCCGGTTTTGAGGAGATCGATTGGTACTCTCGCGGGCTTGGTAGCCAGTTCAGATTTCAAGTGAAGATGAACAGCTTCACTTGTGGGGATTGAACGACTAGTATTAATTCTCTTGATTCACCAGTTCGTTTTCTCTGTTGCTCTTTTTAGGAGGGGGGGGGGGGGGGGGCTTGGAAAAGTTTTTACAGCGAAGGCAAGCAGAAGAGTCAAAAAGTTCGTACGACAAATTTTGACAATGTTGCCCAACGGATGATTGTTGGCCAAACACGATGACCGATTTCAGCGTTCGGCCGTCGCAGTTTCTTCTCCTTTACATTCGTGGGATTTGTCCACATCCTTTTGTTATTGTAATACTACTAAAATGTCATTCCTACAATGAATGCTCATCATGTACCAGGTATATGATGAGCAATCCACCCTCCACCCTCCAAGGTTCAACTACAGTATACAGTATATGTTATTCTTTCATCCTAAAATTCGAATACCATCAATTAATAGATAAACACCAACGATCTTTTCCATCTATCTCAGAATATAAAAACTTATAATTGGATGAAACATTTTAATCTCTAAAAGCCAGCTTCAGCTGATCCTCCACCCATTTCAGGTTCAGGGCGTTTTCGCCGCCACGCTGATCCATCCAGCAGATCTCCAACTCAGATCACGAAAAAGTTCACCGATTTTCCCCCAAAAGGAGCAGCGCTGACCACAGCAGCAGCGACGGATAGCCCACAGCAGCAGATCTCCACGCCGATGGTTTTGCCCTTGCTCCTCCTCCGATGGTTTATCGCCGTCCGCTCTTACGCGACGTCACGTGACAAAAGTACGGCGTAATTACCCCTCTTCTTTTATATCGATCCAAAACGTACAACCGCTCACGACAGGTAGCTTCCATTTAACACATTTTTCTGTTCAATTTATCGATCCAAAACGTACAAAAACTCACGACAGGTAGCATCCATTTACATTTTCTGTTCAATCTTCTGGTTTCAGATAGATTTATATACTAATAATTCGATCCTTCATGGTAGAGAGTTTTGCATATGCAGCTGCAAGTTGATGAAGCTGTTTGCGTTGACCCCCAGATCATAGTACGAACAAAAACATAGATAACCATCAGGATCCAGAATTCAGATAGCGTCCAAATGCAGTACGCAGGGGGGGGGGGGGGGTGGCGCCCGAGGATTTTAGAAATGGAACAAACTGCTGGCAAAGTGGCAATGTAGACGCCAGAACATCGATGATTCACAGTATGTATTAAAAAAAATGCAAACTGGGATAGGTTGAAGGAGCCATTAGTAGTTTATATTTCATCCTAAAGGAGGGTTAGGATTTGAACCAATTGATAATTTGCGGCACCAGAAGCAGTAACACGTCAGAAGCTGTATTGACATCATCATTCTGATTTAGACAACGTTTGGGAGTTGAGATAGACATGATTGCAAAAAAGAAGAGCCCCAGCCAATAGTTTCCCAGGGCTTTGGCTGTGCAGATGCGAGTATCAAATTATCTAGATTAGACCCTACGTGGGCCTCAAGTATCTACAGTACAATAAGACCTATTCACAGCATCTGCAGGAAACAACACTGAAAAATCAGACAACCTGCTGCACGTTTCTTGGAATTTTTGCTGAACTATTCTGCTCCATGACAAGAACATTGGCATGGAGGGATGATTTTGCTGTTAGAACACAAGGGATCTTCAGTAACTCACATGTTTGCTTTCCTCTCCCACCTTTCTTTAACATCAAGCCTGAAAGATACAATGCACGATTGGTAAGCACCAAAAGAGAGATTTCTTTTCAAAAGAACAGGTGAGCTAGCTGAATGCCTCGTGAGCATTTGCCAACTGAGGTCAAAAAGAAGTGTCACACCAAACTGCACTACTATCCTACCAATTCCACCAGATTTATGGTGACAATCAGTTTTTTCTTGTTTCTTGATTTCTTAATGACAAGTGACTAAGTGAGAACATCTCATGACCATCAGACAAAGTTCATGATACAAAAGATCACCAATAAATACCTTTCACTAAATTACAGTGTGAGTCCTCCCTACCACATTCCATCCACATAGGGAAGTTGGAGAAGCTAAACTTGACCCTCTTTGTTAAATTCAGAAAATAATAGTATAAATTCAGCAGGGGGAATTGTGCAACGTATATGATCTTTCTGAATGATGAAATATGACTGTTCAGTGCATTTAGTGTTAATAAAAGCTAAGAGTAAATTGCATCAGCGGTACATGAACTTATCAGGTGGGTGCAATCTAGTACATGAACTTGTAAAATGCTTGTTTTGATGCATGAACTTATCTGGTACGTGCAAACTAAGGCTAAAATGGCACAACTAGACTGAATTTTCTATGTTGAACATTATAAATTATAAATTAGTAGATAACATGCATGCACATAGTACAAAAGTTATATTTGTAAACTTAGTTTCCACTTTATCTTCCTTTGTGTCTATCCTTGCATCATCACTTGGATTTTTATTTTTTATGCAATCATTATGCCTTATTATATGTTTATACTTCTTAGACACATGTTTACATAGAGTTAAATCAACAACAAAATCAGCAAGATTAACCTTGCCGTGCGATTTTGACCTTATTCGCACGCACCAAACAAGTTCATGCACCAAAACGAGCGTTTTACAAGTTCATGTACTAGATTGCACCCACCTGACAAGTTCGTGTACCGCTAATGCAATTTACTCAAAGCTAGATATGAAAAGGTGCACTCGAATTGCATGGGTGCTAAAGCTGAGTAAGTAACACAACAGAAGTTGCTACACACTATAATGATAGAATTGTACCCCCAATGTAACTTCCTTTTGTTCCTTGAGGGAAATGATGATGCAAGATCCTGCAAAATTAATTAATGGGGGTAAAAGCAGAAGTCAATCAAATTAGTGTAAATCAAGTCAACCAAATGTCTTAAAGATGTCAAAGTTATAAGCACTACCACCTAACATCAACTTATCAACAAAGCCAACTCAGTTGGGAATCCATGTCAAGGAAGCAACTCGTAAACATTTACTCTATCAATTTGACATACATATTGTACAAAAAAAAGGCTAGTGTACATGTAAGCTAACAATAGATTTTTATTTGCAATTCTGTTGCAGAGTGATCTATATGGTGAATATTATGTAATCAACGGATACTTCACGTACTTTGATGCTAGTAGAGTTTTCCTGCTTTTGCAGCAGGTACTTTTACCTATAACTATAAAAGCAATAAATTGATTTTTACCATTTTTTTATTGAATGGTAGTTGTAGGAATTAGCTAAAAGTCAAGGCAAAGCAATTCTTTCATCACTTGAACACATTTCAATACGTCAAGCCAATTGGGTTGTTAATCTAAGATTCTGTAGTAGTGTAGAACTTCATCACTACAGTATGTCATAAAAACCAAACCATTACTCTTTTTTTCCCCAAGGACAACAAAACAACGGAAAGAATAACTTGCAGGATTCCAGGGAAAGGAAGATAATCTCCACTGTCCAAACACAATTTCCAATAGTATTAACCACACATACCACTTGGGTTCCAGCAGCTGATGCTGTATGCTGTACATCTATAGCAACATTGCCGATAGATTCATCCTTATCCACGATACTACAATCACTGGTCACCTTGGTATTCTTCTTTGTGCTTCCTAACAGATAAAATGCGATGATCAAATAGCTTGGAACAATTGACAGGCGGATAATAACACAAAGACGAGTGCATATAAATGTGTGTGAGAGAGAGGTACCTCTAGATTTCCCTTTGCATTTTGGTTTTTCCTTTATTTGCAACCGTTTCTTGTGTAATTCCTGTGATGCTAAACAAATCAAACAATAGACCCGGTAGAATCAGAAGGAAACAATCAAATGCATGAACAGCAGGCCTTACAAAGGAAACCATCATGGCCAAGAGAAACACTCGCTCAGAAATTTGTCATGTTACTTATGGTTATGAGAAGGGAAATTATGCAGTTGAATGTCTTTTTCTTAAAGAAAGGGCCATACTGGATCTTTACTAGACCGATAATCCAAACAAATAAATTTTGAAACCAAAAAACACATACACTCTAGGTCTCTAGCACCGGTAACTGATAGGGTGTGGATATTTTCTGTTCCAACCAAAATTCTAGCATACAATCTGCATACTCCAAACTCCATCAGAACCAACGAAGCATTTCCCTGCTCCGAAAAGGAACCAAAAGTTCTCCCTGAAATCCATATGTTCATTAAAATCAAAACCAACTCATAGCTTATCAGGCATTCTCGCCGTTAGCATTGACGTCAACTAAAGCCTCTAGCTAGAAGCCTAGAACATTATCGCCTAAGAAATAACAATAGCATGTCTCCTCCTAGTTAATCGTTCCTGTTTGAGTACACTTTAACAGTCTTGTTCATATACTTAAAACACACAAAAAAAACTCAAACATTGGCATATCATCAAAGTAACATGACCTCAATTCCACAGATATCTTCACAAAAAAGAAGCACTAATATGTTCCTTTGTGCATCAACAAATAAGGACAAACAGACAATTTTCTTCCCATGCGGATAGCGATTAGCGAATTAATCGAGCTTCTGCGTAAACTACCGTGACTTGGTCTTTCGAACGGATTCCGAGTCTGGAACTCTGGATCAAGAAAAAAAAACCAGCAAAATGTAAAAGAGGGAAACCTTGAACTTGTCGAGCCGATCTTGTGACAGCTTGGAAGGCTTGAAATCCGGGTCGAGGAGCCTGCTAGATGCGAGCGCGTCCTCCTTCCTCTTCGCCCCGTCGCCTCCATCGGCGTCTCCGGTGCCGCCTCCTCTCCCAATCTGGTCCTTGCTCGCTGCTTCCATGGCGGCCGAGAGGAACGAGGGCAGATGAGTCGTATTGTGGTTTCATCCAACCATGGCCCAAGGCCACTTAAAAGCCCAGGCCTGGACAGAAAAAGCCCATTTACGGGCCTGGTCGCATGCGCCCATGGAAAGTTTGGGCTTGTCCGGATCATTGTCAAGTGGGGTTGGGAATCTCAGCGTACCTTATCAACGTATGATTAATTAAATATTAACTAAAACTTAAGAATATATTAATATGGTTGTTTACAATAGTTTTGTTATAGTTTTCTTTAAAGAAAACTGTATCATTTAATAGTTTGAGAAATATGCGCGCGAGAAATGAGAGAGTAGTAGATAATAACCTAACTATCGAAACCACCCTTAATGGTGAGATATGACAATGCCAAATTTTGGAATAGAATGACCGTTCGAATTTTTTGTTAAAAATTGGCATGTCTAAAATATTGGCTAAAAACCAGTAAGAGCCTATGCGTATAAAATATAATAACTTCAAAATCTACTGTGATAGGGTCTGTTTGGTACAGCTCCAACTCCTAAATTTAGCTTCAGAAGTTGGGTCTACAGTAGAGTTGTGGAGCTGTCTAAACCCAGCTCCACTACTTACTACGAATTTAGGCACGAGGAATGTTCAAATTTATAGAACTGAAATGTGTCATATCTAATTCTATATTATTATATTTTAGGATGAAAGTAGTATTTTTTTTTGTCCTTGGAATTTCGAAAGAAAACTGAGCCATCCTAAGGAAACCACAATGTGGTGAAATAGTGGATAAAGTATTTAATGAATCCATGTTACCAGGTAAGATACATTATAAATGTGGTAAACAACTAATACCAGGGTATAAACTTACTAACAGGTATTAGCATTTTATGGTGGGTCATATCTATTTTATTAAACTATGATATGGCTTATGTTTGAAGACTTTTTTTAGGTGAGTCCCACCTTATTAACCACTCTACATAAATATATTTTTTTGTCATTCCAACTTACTATTATCACCTAAGAACATATACAATAGCAAACTATAAGCCAGCTATAAACATATATCAAGGAGATAAAAATAGGAGAGAGAATGGCAGTGGGCTACATATTTGTAGCTATAGCTGCAGCACGGACTACAAGATGCAATGTGTATATGACAGTTGGGACCAGATATCAATAGTGTAGTATATGTTATAGGTAACTATTACTCCCTCCATCCCTTGACGTCGTTGACTTTTTTAAACATTTTTAACTATTTTCTTATTAAAAAAATTTAACTAATTGTTAATTTTTTTCCTATCATTTAATTCATTATTAAATATACTTTTATGTATACATATAGTTTTACATATTTCACAAAAGCTTTTAATAAGACGAACGGTCAAACATGTTTTAAAAAATCAATGGCGTCAAATATTTAGAGACGGAGGAAGTATATGTATTGGCTATTAAATTGACTATAGCTGATTTAGAGTCAGTAGTTGGCTATACTGTTAAACTTGCTTTAACACGGGTCAATCTAAACTACTACCTCCGTCCCATATTACTTGTCTTTTTGAGTTTTTGTTTGTCAATGTTTGATCATTCGTTTTATTCAAAAGAAAATTTAGAATTATTATTTATTTTGTTTGTCAATTGCTTTATTATCAAAATTACTTTACATATGACTTATCTTTTTTTATATTTGCACTAATTTTTTAAATAAAACAAATGGTCAAACGTTGCAAATAAAAAGTCAAAAACGTCATCTATTACGGGACGGAGGGAGTACCTAATTTTGTAGTAATAAACAATGAGAATGCCGTAAGGAAAATGCTGAATTTTGACGAGGAGAAGAGGAGACACGTGGGAGGGCCACGCGGGGGAGAGCCATTGATGGGGGAGCCGGTGGTCAAGCGAGTTTATCCCCGCGAGGCAGCGAACGTGAAGCGACCTGGTCTCCCTCTCTCCCATATGCCCATCAACGCCATCATGCGCTGCCGATCTCCTGTCGCTGGCCGTCGTGCATGCATTGAACCAAGCGAGGAACGGTCGAACGAAGGGGCCGAGGGGAGGGGAGGGGAGGGGGGCGAGGCGAGGCCGCCACCGATTGGGAGTCACACTCATCACAGGTCACAGCTCCTACTATCCCATCCATTTCCGGCGGATGAAAGGGGGGAGAAAATTTGTCGCGGAGGCCGTGCAGATGCTGGTGCCTGGTGCTACGCGGACACTTGGATTCATGCATCTTCTGTGCCGCCGTGCGTGTGTGTTCTCGTGGGCTGTCAACGTGGGAACTGGGAAGCTCATTATCCTCTAACATCTATGCAGAGGGAGAGGAGAATATATGGGGAAAATTCACACCACGTTACTCCCACAGGCCACAGTCTTATAGTAATATCTCTCCATTTCTTTTTGTTTGACACCTGTTAGTTCAAAATTGAACTAATCAACATCATACATTTGGAAACAGAGGTGGTAATAATCGATCTTAGTATATTTGAAGGTTGAGGTAATAACAACTAACAGCTGTTTCTCTCCTCTGCCCGTAACATGCTACTTATAAGATGTTTTGGGTTGTGTAAGCTAAAAATTTTAAGCAAATTCGACCAATTTTATTCAGAAAATGTAACAAATATTTTCAACATTTCAAATAAATATATTGTAGCTATATATAGAATAGCTATATGTGATTGATATGGAACGAATGAAGTAGCTATCTGTGAATGCTATGGAATATATTACTTAAAATACGTCTCCTACAAACATGTGTAATACCTCCGGTATTTAATTGATGATATTGATCTTTTCGCATGCGTTTGACTATTCGTCTTATTCAACAAATTATCAATTATTATTATTTTTTACTTGATTTATTATTAAAGAAACTTTAAGCATAACTTAATATATTTTATTTATTTACACAAAATTTTTAAAATGAGACAAATGATTAAACATGTGTAAAAAATTTAACAACAACATCTATTAAAAACTGAAGGGAGTACTACACGCACACTTATAATTTTCAAGCAATGGGCATGACCAAATACCCGTAAGAAAATGAACTGGGAACCGTGTTTACTTGTGGCTTATTCATTTTGTTGCTACTTTCAACTCTACCAAATATTATCATAACCAATTTTTGATTTGGTAGAAAATCAAACATATTATTACCAAATGAACCTTACCAAACATTGGTAGTTCTAAAAATTTCCACTCTTAAAAATTCTAAATTTTGGTAAGACTTTCGCTAAAATTTTTGATGATGCTATAATGTGTTAAAAATTGGCATTATTAAATGTTTTGTAGGATTGAAAATGACCATAAAGTGAAACAATTCAACACCACTATTGTGTATTTGTATACTAGTATTGTATTCCAGCTCTTTTATTTCTCGTAGAATGATATCGACAATGCTATAAAGAACCTGGACCCGTCAACGTATGTGATGGACTGGACAGTACTTGTCATGCTACTGTAAAGTGAAGAGATTCTAGCTATAGGTTGTATATCTACTCCCTCCGTAAAACAAACTCTGGTTTCCGTGTCCAACGTTTGACCGTCCGTCTTATTTGAAAAAAATATATAAAAATTTAAAAGACAAGTCACATATAAAATATTAATCATATTTTATCATCTAACAACAATGAAAATACGAATTATAAAAAAATTTCATATAAGACGGACAGTCAAAGTTGGACACGGAAACCCAGTGTTTGTCTTTTTTTTTTTACGGAGGGAGTATGTTGTACAATTGTTGAATTTTCTGTTTGGATTGTCTGGCACTTTTTGGAGAAGTTGGTTCCTTCAACAATTAGGTACATGACTTTATCTTCTTTGGTATATCTAAGAACAAGTCAAAGAGATGCAAATAAGTTCATGGGGTCCACGACAATTAAAGTTGCAATGCAATAATTTTAACTAGCAAGTTATCAATGCTACCCAGAGCTATGACCCGTCAAAAGAAAATTCCAGAAAGAAGTTGTTTCTTTGAAGAATAACTTACATTCCTTTCAATATTCTATCGTTAAGAAAAAAATCTACCAAGTCATATTCTCCAATTAATAATCCAGCTCTGTTTCTGAAATAACAAACAATTTTACAAAGAAGAAATTCCAACAAAACATGCATTATCCTATACATTTAGGCCCATTTGAATCGCAAGATTGAAAAAAAAAGGAGAAAAACACATAATTCTAATAGTAATGCAAATGTAAAATAGTTGATTGAAAACATAGGAAAACATGCATGAATTGATGTTTGATTAGATTGCGGGAAAAACGCAGGAGTCGGATGAGAGAGATAGACTTCCAAGAGGTTAGAGCTCTTGTTAAATTTTCTCCAAAATCTATATGCAATGAGCCATTCTATAGGAATTTGATAGGATTTGGAAAACTTTATTCTTTTGAATCAAATGGCCCCATAGAAAAAATTCATATAGGATTTGAATCTTATTAAATTACTATATAAAATCATTTGATTCAAAGGGCCCTTAAGTTTCTGTTCCGCATGTTTGTTATTTTAAAGCATATCCAACAATTACAAATAGTTCAAGAAGCCAAAGAAGCCATGTTTATTGTTCAACATTTTCAATAACAAAATCCAGTCCACCCAGGAAGCCATAACATCCATATTGTTTCGATGATGAGAAGAATAGGAATTTTTCAAATGAACAATTGTCAGCAAAGTCTTTTAAATGGGCTAGATGTGTATTTCAATACTATCAGCGCAAATATATGGTAAAATGATCATCATCACTGATGAGATACGTGTGCTGTCCGAAAACAAAACAGAAACATGTGTATTTTACATATCGTGAAATCTATTTCGAGAGCGCTCTCGGTTTAGCTCTATAGCGCGACGCATCTCAGAGCTGTCTAATTGTGCACGTTGTCATGATGTTCATCCATGTGGGTGTCTTTTTCCTTTCAAATAAAGTTCACGTGGGTGTCTTTTTCCTATTCAAATAAAGTTTCCTCTCAAATTACTTATCCGATCTACAATCCTATTACACTATTGTGTTCGTTATAATTAAATATTCACAACAAGATCTTACATGATTATGTTACGATGAAAAAATATTTATATTTGTAAATTACTTTTATTATATACATAAGTTACTTTTATCATATATATATATAAGTTACTTTTAGATTTGACTAAATTACTTCTTAGACATATAAAAGTAAATTCAATAAAGTCTAAAAGTAATTTACATATATTCTAAAAGTAACTTAAAACAAAACAGAAGTAACTTTGTCACGACATTAGAAGTAAATTCGTTGTAGGGATTGACGGAGCGCGGGGCTCCTCACCGGGAGACCGTGCAGGCCCCCCTTTGCCGGTTCGGCCGGGGGCGCTAAGTGAGGTTCTTCGCCCTCGATCTGTGGAATGGTTCGCGAGAGAGTAAATGCGCAAGACACGGGCGACGTAGACAAGTTCGGGCCGCTGAGAAGCGTAATACCCTACTCCTGTGTTCTGGTGGATCTGTGTGTGAAGGAATACAGAGAGCTCCAGAGCCAGGGAGCTCGAGCGCGAGAGAGAGTTCAGGCCCTCCCCTTTTTCCCCTTCTCTTCTTTTGGTAGGCATGGTCCTCCTTTTATATCTCAAGGGGATACCACATACACCATTTCTACCTACCCTCCTTTTGGGTGGGGACCCATCCTACTTTGACCAAAACTTGGCTTGTACCTTCGTCTGACACCGGGATAACCCTGTCCTCTCTCATTAATGGGCGGAGATTTGCAATGGCTGCTGTCCGAATGACCCTCCGATGGGATGGGTCATACCAACCTCCACTCCGCCGGAAGCAGGTGCAACGTGGAAGCACGGTTGTTTGCTGATGACGCGACCGGCGTCAGACCAATCACAGACCGGTCATTCTTGTCCTCCACGCGTCAGTTTAGCATGCTACACGTCTGCCCTTCTTCATACAACGACTTCCTTGCAATGGTTGCGATGAAGCCTGGAATGTATCTGGCCGGGGCTGACGTGCCAACTCCAGGAGTTCCCACGCCGGCTCCGGCTAGGGACGAGTGCCTGGAGGCTCTCATCATTCCGACGGGATGGGGCGAGGCGTGTGTCAGGCCGCCTGTTGCCCCCTAACCCGCGATCTGACCGGTCTGTGACCGGTCACACACTGCGACCGATCACGGACCGGATAAGCATGCGCTACGTTGCATTAAATGCGGCGTGAGGCGCTCGTCCAACCCGCAATAAACGCGGTTAGGTGAGCGCCGCTGTGCTCACCTAACCCACACACGTGGCGCCAAACCCCCAGGGGGTCGGGGCGCCCCAGCCCTCGGGGGGTCGAAACGAGAGCGGCCCGACCCCTCGGGGAGATAGAGGGAGGGGCGGCCTCATCACCCTCGGGCCCGACCCCCCCCCCCGAGGGGGTCAGGCCACGCGGGTGACCGCGGCTGCCCCAAACCTCTAGTCAAGATATCCCCGGTCCCATGTCACTGACAGGGATAAAATATGACTTTTTTAGTTAATTCCATAATTTGTGCTGATTAATTTAATTTCTAGATAGAGTCATGTCTTTATCTTTACAACGAATTTACTTCAAATGACATACCAAAGTTACATTCGTTTTGTTCTAAGTTACTTCTATAATATATATAAATTAATTTTAGACTTACTGAATTTACTTTTATAGTTTAAGAAATAACTTGGTGAAATCTAAAAGTAATTTAGACATATCATAAAAGTAATTTGTGATTTTTTCATCAAAATATAATCATGTGAGATCTTGTTGTAAAGATTTAATTGCAATGAACACAACGGCATAATCAGATTATAAATCGGATAAGTAATTTAAGAGAAACTTCTCTAAGAAGGAAAAAAATACATAGATATTGAGTGTACTAGTAGCTTTTTTTGGAAAGAAATGTGTCTCTCTTTAGCACTATCCAGCTAGCACTCTCGGTGTAGTCGCGTCCTTTACATATACCTAGATTCCTTGAGACATTGTCTCGAAGTACAGGGTTCTCAAATTTACTCAATCATTTGTTTTATACTGTATTATTTTTAAGAATAAAATATGCGAACAGATCTTAAACTTGGCCCGAGGTGTTAGTTAGATCCATCAAGTTATAAATTGCACATTCAAAAACATAATTTTGGTTTAATGTATCAACCATAGTCCAAAACACTTTTGATAAGCTATGGTTTTTGACGTGGTTGTCCACGATGGCTAAAAGTTTGCATTCGACCCCTTCCCTAACCACGGTGGTAATAAATAGTAAGCATTTAGCCCTTCAGCTACAACACATCGAGATCAATTATTTTTAGCCCTTCAGCTACTTTTAACCATGATTGCTAAAAGTTTGCATTCGACCCCTTCCCTAATCACTTCAACTCTTCGGATTGAGTGGTGATGGGCACAATGGTGATTAGAGTGGCGGAGATCATCAATAGTCAGAGGTCCTTGGAGTAGAGATAGACAGTCCCCGTCTCAACAATATTCTCGATATTTTCCTCCGATGACTTGAAGACAACGAGCTGCTTGGAGCATCCACGACAGTGATGCCAAAAATACCACACTTTTCCGCCATCCTCCCCTCCTTCCATACATTTAGCCTCCTTCCTCCCCTCCTTCGCCACACCTCGTCTATCTCTACGCTTCCTGCATTTCATGCCACCATTAATCCCCCCCCGATTAAAAATATGAGAATAAATAGAGAAGAGACGGTCAGGTCGGGGATAAATCCGCGGGGAGGGGGTAATTGCAAAATTGTTTCTGTTGTGGAGCTTCGGAGGAGCCAGAATACAAAAGTTTTATCACCACCACCGTGTTGATACCCAAGACATGTCAAAAGTGATTTGGAGGACGGATAATACAATAATTAAATCTAAGTTTTAAAAACCAGCAATGTATTTTACTATTGTTTTTATTTATTATATTCAACTTTAAGTACAGTGTTACTACCCACCAACCATAGGTCCATACACCTTAATGCTCCTACCAGTTGGAGGAGAGCCTCATCAGCGGCCATGGCGGCTGCCAACCTCAGCCGATCCGCGACATTCCTGTCCGGGTGAGTCCAACCGCTTCGCTCCTCTCGCTAAATCTCATCTCCCCAACTAAACAATAATCCAAAGCTAAGCACATCACAGGAGAAGAGGAAAAGGTTCCTCAGTAGTGTGTGTTGTCTGTGCGTGAGCTCCCACCTCCTTCCCTTCCCCCTCCCCACCAAACCCCTCTCCGATCCAAGCCTTCCTTCCCCCCTCTCTCTCTCTCTCCCTCGCATGCCGGCGCGCTCGCCGAGGCGGCGGCGCTGCTGACCATGGGCGGCGTCACGTCCACCATCGCCGCGCGCTTCGCCTTCTTCCCGCCCACGCCGCCGTCCTACACCGTCGTCGCCGACGCCGCCACGGGCCGCCTCGCCATCCCCGAGATCTCCCGCCCGCCCGCGCGCCGCCGGCGGAGGGACGGCGGCGGGGACGCCTCGGCGTCGGGCGCCGCACCCGCCGAGGACGAGGACGGCACGGAGGTGGTGCGCCTCCGCACGCGGCGCGGGAACGAGATCGTCGGGGTGCACGTGCGCCACGAGCGGGCCTCCGCCACGCTGCTCTACTCCCACGGCAACGCCGCGGACCTCGGCCAGATGTACGGCCTCTTCGTCGAGCTCAGCCGCCGCCTCCGCATCAATCTCTTTGGGTAACCCCCTCTCTTCGTCTTCTCGCTTCAGCTCGTTTGCTTTGCTAGTTTTAAGCTGGATTTGGCCCGGGAGCTATGCGGTTTCCATTAGGGGAAACTAACTTGGAGTTGTTTCGGAAAGAGGCGTGCTAGCGATGTGTTAGTCATTTGGTGCGCATTTATTATTTAGATTTGTTGTTCCTATATCTTTGATTGGTTGTTATAACTATGCTAAGCCATGGGTTTCACACTGATCTCTGGACCTAGTTAACGGAAATTGCCCCTGTGACACATGGATCAATCTGAAATGTTTGGATCACACACAAATGGACATGACATTTAGAGGCCGATGAAATTGGGAAATTCAGTTGTATTTAGTAGAGGCAGTTAGCTGCATTTGTCTTCCCTCCAATGTTAGTTGCTCTACTTGTCACCAGTTTACCACTATACATATAAAATCGCAGCCAAGGCGAATTAACTCTTTTCTACTGCAGCTTTCTGCCAAACTGCCCCCAATGACTACCTGATCTTTTTATTATTACTGTTATAAGGAGATAATACTAATTTAGTGCAAATTTGGAGCTGGAGACTTGAGATTTTGGAGTCACAACTTGTATTGTTTAAAGATAATAAAAAGGTTAGGGACCTAAGCTTAGTGAAGTAGTTGGCAAGGTGCAAGAGATTGTGAACACCTAGCAGGAAATGCAGAGTTTCTTCTTTCCTTTTTTCAGTTTTAATTATACCAGAATATCTATTAGTTCTACCCTAAGAACATGGTCTGTTGTATTGTACCGGTGTACCCTACATTGTGACTTTGCCAAGAAAGCAAGATAATGTATTTTGTGGTGGTAGCTTGGATTTTACACAAGAAACCTTTTTGATGATGAGATGGTGTGTTGTATTTCGAGGCATAATTAGTGGGGCTGTCTGGTGGATCACCTATAGTGGTTGCCTTGTGCAGAGAGATGGGCATCATATATTTTTTTTGGATTCCAATTTCCAAGAGGGAAACCCTCACAACCACCCAACATAATTCCCACTCTATCTGTTTGGAAAGTGCAGATTGACCGTTGATTCTGTCACAGATTTCCTTTCATGATCATAAAATGAAAACTATTCTATAGTGTTCTTTTTTAGACTGGAACTAATCTTGTTATTGCAGATTGATTGCAAAGCACCACAAATCCTCTTAGTCAAAAACTCTAGGAAAATTTGATGTACTGCATTCTCATGTAGTATAAAATTATATCCTGTCATAGTATTCAATCTCTTTCAATTGCAGAATAGGCCTTTGTAGATTGGTGCTTGCTTTATTATCAAACATAACACACTAAATAGAGTAAAAAATAGGAGAATGCGATTTTCTGAGCATCATTTTAACAGACACCATATGTTCAACAGGTATGATTATTCTGGATATGGGCGGTCTACAGGGAAGGTATCCTTCAGTTCTTATTTGTTGGTTGCTTCAATTTTAGCTTAAGTAGCAAAGCTAATCTTATGCCTAACACATCTTAATGGACAGTTTATTCTTCCATTGAACAGCCCACTGAGTGTAATACATATGCAGACATTGAAGCAGCATATAACTGCCTCAAGGAAAAATATGGTGTCGCAGATGAGGATATAATCTTGTATGGTCAGTCTGTTGGGAGTGGTCCAACCATTGATCTTGCTTCTCGTTTGCCAAATTTGCGAGGTGTGGTTTTGCACAGTCCCATTTTATCTGGACTAAGAGTACTATATCCTGTCAAAAGGACGTATTGGTTTGACATTTATAAGGTAAACTTGATTTCTTTTCACCTCTCCCTGGAATTCTTGTTTCTGAATGCTGATATACTTTCCCTCCATGTTGTAGAATATTGACAAAATTGGCCTGGTAAATTGCCCAGTGCTCGTAATTCATGTAAGTCCAATTGTTTTACTGTTATTTTCATTCCCACTAGTTGCTAGTTACTTCATATGTAATAAATTACTCTAGTGCGTAGAGAACCTGAAGATAGATTATTCCTCTTTGAATTTGTTGTGAAATAGAAGATTCGTGCCTAAATACTCGACGAGCCAATTATGGTAATTAGACACAATGAAAAAAAAAGAACAATCTAGAAACACAGTTATGAAGGCTAACTGACGTTCTGTTATTGAGTGCTGTCATTTATCGTCAGAATTGCCATCTTAGAATTTAGGTGCTCTTGTTGTCGTAACTGAACAATTCTAATGCTTACATCAGGGTACATCAGATGATGTCGTTGACTGTTCCCATGGAAAGCAGCTGTGGGAACTTTGCAAAGTAAAATATTCACCGTTGTGGCTAACTGGTGGTGGCCACTGCAATCTTGAGCTTTATCCTGATTATATCAAGCACTTGAAGAAGTTTGTGTCAAGTCTTGGCAAAAAATCATCAAAACCTGATCTTAAAGAGATAACGATGAAGGAGGGTGCTTCTAGTAAAGATTCAGAACCTGCAAGCTCTGAGAAACCCCAAGAAGCTCCAAAGTGCTCCCAGATCTCACGAAAGAGCTTAGATAGTCGAGTTGGGAAATCAAAAACTGTGGATGTTCCTGAAAAGCCACGAATGAGCTCAGATGATGTCGACAAGTTCAGGAGGAGAAGATGTTTGGTCTGGTGATATATGATGTGATCCTCTGCGCGGTTCATGTAGCAGTAGCTGAATACAATAGCATGAAAATCGAGCAACTGTATTACATCGTATAGCGAGGAACATACCAGCAGTTCAAGCAGTTCTTATGCCTTACGGGACCGGAATATGAGCTGTTAAATAAGGGAGAAGGATCAGTATGCTGCTGGAGTAAATTATCATATATCCATCAATGAACTGAATCTCAACAATGGTAACATCATGGGTAAATTAACACGTACGCCATCATCCTGTTTTGCAACGCCAGTAGGATTTCCATCATGTAAAAGTGTACCATTATTGTCTGTAATCATGAGGGACAAAAAACTGAAAATTTGCTGCCGCTTTGTGCACAGTCTAAAGCCTTGACACAAGGAGCAAGATATTCCAGTTGGTGTTCAAATGTGTGTTGTGATGTTTGTGAGTTTGTCGGTTTAGCTAGCTTCTGATTAAACTCTTTCCGTTTGGGAGCTCAAATGACCCAGATTGTGACTAGTACCTTATCTCTAGGCATCATGCAAGGCCGGACCAATCCCAAACTGTAACATCCACTAAGTACATATCCATATGTATCATCGGTCATCACCACTCTAAACATCTTATGTACATTCCCTCTGTTCTGGTAGCCCAACAAACACATATGCACACATCACCAGGGAAGCCTGGAAAGTGGGGGAAAAAAGGTCTCGCACCTCTCATACAACAAGCACACGCCTCAGCGTAATAGCAGTAACACACATATTAAGCCTCGGTGGCAAATATACTGGTCTAATCTAATAACCCGCTGGTCACTGGCTAGTGTTAGGAGTCGTCTGCCTGCTATCCCACTGAGCATGCACCGTGTCGGGAGATAATGGCGGGTCAGGTCCCTTCTTGTCTTTGCCTCCATCTTTCTCCATCACGCATAGGTCCTGTACCCCCTTGAGCCCCTCGAGCACCTCCTTGATCGGCGGCCTCATCTCGCCGTTCTGCTGCAGGCACCGGAAAGCCAGCTCGGCGACCATGGTCATCATCTTCTTCGTCGCCGGGTCGGACTCGTAGCCGAGCTCGAGGTCCACGAGCTCCTCGAGCTGGCTCTTCTGGATCCTGTTGATGGCCATGCCGGCCAGGTTGATCTCGTTCCGCTGCCGGGTGATGTCCACCGCCGGCTTCGACGAGATGAGCTCCACCAGGACAACGCCGAAGCTGTACACATCGCTCTTGTCGGTAAGCTGGTAGCATTGGTGATACTCCGGATCCACGTATCTGCAAATGCACAAGAACAAAATTGAAAAAAAGGGCATATTAGTTAGGCGTAAAAATACGAGAAGCTCTTGGACAAACTAGTTGATGCATCGTATCATATCACTGCGCCTGGACCGGTGAGGCGACGTGGACGTGACACGCTGAAACGTGACTGCTTACCCTGGGGTGCCCTGGGGAGCGGTGGAGACGTGCGTGACGTCGAGGGGGAAGAGGCGGGAGAGGCCAAAGTCAGCGACCTTGACGTGGAAGTCGGCGTCGAGGAGGATGTTGGTGGTCTTGACGTCGCGGTGCACGATGGGTGGCTCGATGGCGTGGAGGTACGTGAGCGCGGCGGCCGACTCGACGGCGATGTTGAGGCGGAGCGGCCACGAGAGCGCGCGCTCCTGCGCGCGGTGGCCGTGCAGGTGGTCGGCCACCGTGCCGTTGGCCACGAACTCGTACACCAGGAGCAGCTCCCTGCTCTGGCTCGACGTGCACCCGTAGAACATCACCAGGTTCGGGTGCCGCAGCCGCGACAGGATCGCCGCCTCGTTCACGAACTGCTCCACCCGCCGGTAGCTGTTGTTGTACAGCCGCTTCACCGCCACCACGCGCCCGTCTCGAAGTATCCCTACATTGATACGTCAACATTGACACATTGTTACTTTGTAAGTAAGCATCAAAGCATGAAAAAGATGTTGCCGTTGTCTGTCACAATGTATGTGTACCTTTGTAGACGGTGCCGAAGCCGCCATCACCGAGCTCTCTGTTCTCGTTGAAGGAATCGGTGGCCTCCTCGAGCTCCTCGTAGCTGAAGAGGTGAGTCTGCAGGTCCTTGACACTGCCGGACTCCATGTCGCCGCCCATGGAGCGAGGTGTCCCGCCGGAGCCGCTGTACTTGAGGAGCTTGGAAGACGAGTTCACCTTCTTGTGCTTTCTCTTGCGAACGAAGAAGACGGTGGCTATTAATCCAAGAGCGAACACCGCAGATAATCCCCCGCCAACCACACCTGAAACAGCAGCGAAAGAAGTTGTAAATCAGTTCAGGCTGTAATTCCTGTAAACCAAAATCAGGATCAGCATTGTTTTGAGGATTTTTTGCACCTAAATTTTCCCCCGGTATAATTAATAAACGTTAGTTGTACTGACAAAACAGAATGAAAATGCTCATTAATTGATCTGTATGTGAGTTACCTGCTATAATTTTTGTCTTCAAGTTCGATCCTGCATATAATAAGCAAAAAACAAAAAAAAAAGATTTGTCAGGAAAATAAAATTAAAATGCAAGCTGAATGCCTACTTTTGGTTTTTTGATCAAATAATTATTTGTTTTGCATCTGCTGCTGATGTAAATAATGTAATAATAATTATAAAGAGGCATTTTTGGGAACTTGACCATGTTTGCTGTTTTCTCCTGGTAAGACTGTCTATAACTCTATATAGCAACCTACAAAGACTGGAAACCTTGCACATAATTTAAGGGATGGCTTTATACCTTTTGACTACACGTTTGCAGCTATGAACTATGAAAATTTCAAATTTGGTACTAACATAAGAAGAAGATCCATGATCTTTTCTTTTTATCTTTTTTCCCTTATTTTGTTGAAAAAAAAAAACTATTTTCTTTTGTGAGGATATGGTGCATCACGTCATGCTAGATAAAAAGATTAGGACTTTGGAAAAAGGTTGTGGCAAAGGGTACGTGGTTTTCTTGTAGGTAAGATATCAACATCAGAAAAGAACACTGAAGATCAGTTTCGAGAATGAAAAAAAAAAAAGAACACAGAAGAAGTCATAAAGCCAAGCAAGGCATACTCATTGTACGCTTTACAGGAATGATCAGGAACATTTCACCATGACGTCATAGCATTGGAAAAGCATCCAAACAAAAGATCAATTTTCTGTGTAAAGTCATGGTTCCTGCCAACATTTCCAGGTTTTGAGCCTTAAAAGTCGCCTGGCCTTCTCTTAGGTTAGGTTAAAAGATGAGTAGATCAGCTCGACAGAAACATGCATCCCAAAGACCGTACACAAACAGTTTGAACCATAGATTTTTTTTCTGGTCCAAAGTAATTGCATAGCCCCATATCTGAAGCAAGCAGATGTTAACTTGTCAATTGCAACTCCTAAACAAAAGATACTGCCTGTGGCTTCGGTTCTCATGTAATGAGTAATGTGAACACCGGAAGTGCAGGTCACAACAATCAATTCAGGCTTTATTAATTGTTTTTTTATGAAAAAGAAAATCAATTCAGGCTTACAGGTATTGTGCCTTTCGTTCTGAAAGTGTGTGATAAGATGTCGACCTCCGAAATTAACAAGACTGGGACTAGCACACATCAACTTTTGCTGTGTGTCGACAAGTGGACCGCAATTCACCGCACCAAACCCATTTATTCGTCGGTTAGCTCTTGCCGGGAAGCGTTATTGTACTTAACAGAAGGAGCTGGAGTACTGAACTACAAACTGTTCTAACACTCGACTAATTATGTGTGTTGAGCCCACGTAGTATTGTAGCACCGAAACTAATAATCACGGAACGTTGGCACACCAGCAAGATACACTCGAACACTAAAAATGGAATGATTACTAGTAGAAGTGATTGGCACAGCAGAAAGCTGCACTATAGACAACTAAAAGCGGTAGTATGATAAGTAGAAAAGATCAATCAAAATTCTGGTGTCCACAGATATAGCTATGTGCATATTTAGTTGGTGCAGGGCTGGAAGTTATACTTTCTTTGTAAATAAAGAAAAAAATCAACAGAGCTCAACGGTTTCTGAATTCTGAACCGGAATGTGCCCCATTTGAATTGGAGAAAAAACAAAAGAATTGAAATCCTATACTATTCATGTCTTTGATTCGTAGAAATGAGAAAAGAAAAAAACGTAGAAAACTTTCCTATTCCTACGATTCTAGAGGAAAAACGTAGAAAATTTAATATCCACTCTAACCTCTTGGAAAACTTCCCTCAGTCTATCTCTCTCATATGATTTCTGTGTTTTTCCTGTGTTCCAATCAAACGGTCATTCATGTGTTTTTCCTATGTTTTGCAATACTCTATTTTACACTTGCATTCCTATCAAAATCCTGTATTTTTTATATTTCTCCGTTTTTTTATCCCGCGATTCAAAGGGCCCCTAAACTCTGAAGCAAGTAAAGCTGCTTGACTGCTTCGCTGCGCATCTAGTTAATCTACTCCCTATTAATATTTCTTTTCCGCGTCACCGTACAGAAGCAGACGTGATCGTCGTAGCTAAACGGGATTAGCAACCGCTAATCAAATAATCTCCGGGACCTACGGATCGTAATCAAGGAGATTTATGGAGAAACGGTGCTATTCCACCATCAGGGCCTTTAATGCTTCATAGTGCGCCTCCGTCGAGCGAAGAGAGGTACGCGAGAGTACGAACTGGACTGACGCACTTAATAAACGCTCCGGTCCGTTTCACACGCTGATATTTCTCGGCATGATCTACTCAGACCATGACTGCATGAGTGCGATTTTTGTGTGAACTGTGGAGGAGGCTATCCGAATGTCGCGTGGATTAATCGCCAAGCGACAGGCAATGTGCTAATTAACCAAGTAATGATTCGCCCGGAAACTCAGCGTACTAGTACTTATACTAGGCTTGGTTTTGATGAGGAAAAAATTAACGGCTTACCGGCCAAGCGCAGGGTGGAGTCGGATATCTTGCTGCAGGCGTCGCTGTCCACGAGGCCATTGGCGCAGAGGCAGCCCAAGAACTTGCCGTTCTGGTTGTAGCCGCACTTGCCGCTGGTTAGCTCGCACCGGGAGCACCGGTCGCTCCGGTCCCAGCTCATCTGGAACCCCTTGCGGAGCGACGCGATGTAGCCGTCTTTCCTCCACGCGGGATCGTTCGCGTCGGACGGGAGGGAGCCGCCGAGCACGGGCACGCCGTACACCGCCGAGCACCCGCGGTGCCAGAGGTCGCCGGGAGGCAGGGGGCTCGCCGGGAGCAGGAACGACTGCGTGGGCGCGTCCTCGGAGTTCTCGCCGCAGGTGAGCGGGTGGATGCTCGGCGGCTTGGGTGGGGCATTGGCTGCCGGCCCGAAGGCGCAGCGGAAGAAGAAGATGAGCATGCCGACGGTGTCGGCCAGGTGCAGCGACGAGGGTGCCGGTGGGATGGTCACGTTATGGCTGACTACGGGGCAGGTGCCGTTGGCGACGTCGGCGTCGGCGAGGGAGACGGTGAGGCTGGCGTAGTCAATGCGCGACACCGTGTAGCTGTCGTTGCCCAGCATCATGACGGCCTTGCCGCCGCCGCCGCCGTCGCAGATGATCTCCAGCCCCGGGTACCCGCAGAACGTGGACGAGTTGGCGTACTTGGGGAGCGCCCTGGTTGCGTTGGAGAGGTAGAACGGGTACCGGACGATGACGCCGCCGCAGGTGATGGAAGCTTGCGCGCCGCACATGGCGGTGTCGTAGGTGTCACCGGTAGGATCGCCGAGGCAAGCGGCGGCGACGAGGAGGAGGGGGAGCAGCACGCGGCCGCCGTGGTGGCAGAGGCGTGACATGGCCGCTTCGTTGCTCTATTGGCTCAAGGTTTCTTGTGTAGCTCTGCGTCTGCGCGCTGCTTTTGGTTTGGGTGGCCCGTGCACCGCGCGCGCGCCCCGCTTATAAACCAGCGTGACGCACGTCGGGCCAGGAGCAAGGGCGCAAAGCTGAATTCGTTTCTGGGGTGAAGGGGGTGGGTGGGCGGTTACTAGTGCATACGGCACATGGCTATCGATGTGGAGCCCGTGGCAGCAGCGACACGGCAGCTTACGGCCACTCTCGCGAGTCGCCGAGTTACCGTCTCTCGTCCTATCCCTGTCCTTGTCCCGTCGCGACTCGGGTGTCGGGGAACTTCACCTTTTTTAAAATTTTCGTCAAAGGAAGATGCTCTTCGGTCTACGATATTCTTTGGTGTTTTGCTTCTTCCGTCCAAAAATAATTATAGTTTTAAGTTTTTATTTATAACATTTGACTATTCGTCTTACTTAAAAAATATAAAATTATTATTTATTTTGTTTACGACTTACTTTATTATTAAAAATACTTTTAAGTAGAACTTATCTTTTTATATTTACACTAAATTTTTAAATAAGACGAATGGTCAAACTTTATAAGCAAACTGTATGACATTTAATTTGGGACGAAGGTAGTATACTTGTTTTTATCTAGAAGGGCTAATGATTCACTAATTTGGTTGGTAACGGAGTCACCGGCATTAGCAGCATAACAGGAAATCCTAATTCGCGTGAACACTTCATGGTCGTATCACGACCAATCCGAGGCTAGTGTTTAAGGATGTGGGAAGAAGGAAGTGAGGGATTAGATTTAGAAGGATGATTTGGGAGACGGCGAACCAACGTATATGAGCAGACAACACTGTCATAGCCCATAGCCATGGGGTTGGTTGTGGGTGGTGGGACAATGTTTGGTGGCAGGGGCAAAAACAAGGCAAAGGCGGGGGGAGGCCGGCCAAATAGGGCCGCGTGACATGTTGATGCCTTTCGGCGCCGGGGAGGACGCACGGTGGCAATGGTAAGGGGGGAGAGGGTGTGGGTGTGGAGAAAAGAGTTGGCTTGGTTGCCAGATCAGTCTGGTTAGAGGGAGTAGGAGGGGCTCACTAGAGGGAGGTATTCGCTGTCTTCGTTGCTAGAGGGAGGACACTCGCCTGCCCCTTCTCTTCTCCATCGGAGGAAGCTTGCCAGAGTGAGGATGAGGGAGTTTGCCGGAAGGAGGTGGAGAAAGCTTGTTGGAAAAGACGGTCACTGCTGTCGTCGCTAGAGGGAGGCCACTTGCCCGCGACTTCTCTTCTTGCTATGTTGCATGCGCTGATAGGTGGTGCCTCTCGTGTGCAATGGAGCATTGGAGAGAAAGAAAATAAGGTGGAAAGAGAAAGGAGAAGAGCGAGCCACGCGAATGCTCGCCCATAAGAGCCCCCCCCCCTCAGCGCCCCCCAAACACCAACATAACTCAACTTTTCTTGAATGATAGTTTTAGTGGTATTTTTGCAGTTTTCTAGTGGCAGTCTTGCAATAACGATTCAAAGCAGTGGCAAATTTGTAATTACCCCTAAATTTATCTTAATGTTAAAATTTCAAGCATTGATAAACTTGGAAAATACTTAACTTCAAGAAAAAGACATGCATAGTTTTGCCTTGGAAATTACTTCCATAACCAACAAAATTTATTTTGCAGATTTATTCTAATAAAAAAGGCGCATTTGCAAATTTGCCACTGTTTTTTTCAATTTTGCAAGGATACCACTCGAATGATAGTTCTAGTGGTATTTTTGCAATTTTCTAGTGGCAGTCTTACAATAACGATTCAAAGCAGTGGTAAATTTGCAATTGCCCCAATAAAAAATGTGGTAAAGTGGCACCAAAAATAAAAAAAAAGTCAAACAACGTGTAGTTATAGCCAGAGGAAGTTACTTAGCAAATTAGCAAAGCAATAAATCAGCTGGTGTGGGTTTAACGTTACCTACACAAATTCACGGGGATTGCCATTTAGTACAACTACGTTCCAAGCACATAAGTACATTTCTGAAAACTTTTGTAAAAATACTTTCCTGCGAAAAACTTTCATCTAAATTAATAAATGTGCACATGGAAAACTCAGGTTATATATTCCGTACATCCACCATCGTGAGAGACTAGATGGGATCGTGTGGAGGATAATACCGAGTGTTATTATTTAGGTATGGTCATTTAAGGGACTGTTTATCTAATGTTCGATAGAAAATCTGTCTAAAAATCTATTAAATTTAATTATAATATATAAGTGATGTGTAGTTATAATATACTTAGGCTATACGTCACATGTGCCTATACAAAACCCTCACCCACTCAGTGGGAGAGGGATGCACACGTGACTCTTATGTCGGGGATTGAATTTGTGCAGGAACGTGATATTTTTCCTTGCACGAATCTCAACTTACCTCCAACGGGTTAGCACGAATTTTGAGGCACATCTAATTGTTAGAAATCTACCAAATATAGCTAAAAAATTTGTCGGGTAGGAGAAAACTGTAGACTATCTAAATAGGAGGGGTTGTTCGTGTTGTACTTAAAATAAACCTTACTAAATTTTGTCAATGCTAAAATTTTTGGTAAGTTGACGATATTACTAAAATTTTGGCAGGATTCTTTTATATATTTACCAAAGTTTGATAAGAAATTAAATGTATGCACATCTTTAACAACTTTATAAAAAAATAGTATAGTTTGAAATAGCATCAATCTGAATAGCCTCGAGAAAAACAAATTTTCTAGGATTTGCTGGGCTTACTCAGGCCGGACTTGGGCCGTGTTAGTCAGCTGCTGTTCACAATATCTAACACGGACTAGCGAAGTACCTTACGTACACGGTACACGCGGGCCGCGGCCACGCGCATCGCTGGCTATGGAGTCCCTCTCCCGTACCAACGCCACGCCATGGAAAATAAGCGCGCGATTGGCAACGAATTGGTCCCGCCGGACGGAGCTCCGCTGCAAATCTGATGACTGTTCAAGCCTCCCAACTCAATTAGCCCCTCCAGTTCCTGGGCTCGTGGCACGCCAAAATATCGTGTAGGAAGACGCAAGCAGAGGAGAACAGCAGGGGAAGGCGTAAAGAGGAAAAGGAGACCACGGAAGAGGAAAATACCAAAAGAAGACGAAGGCCCAAGATATCAGCTATTATTCAGGTCAGGACTCGAGGAAAAGGATCGTGTTTAACGGCCATCTAGATGGGCACGCTTGTGGACGTGTTAGTTCGTCAATATTTGATCAATGCTAAGGCCCCTTTAAATTGTAGGATTGAGAAAATATAGGAATAGGATAAACGTAGGATTTTGATAGGAATGTAAGTGTAAAACAGAGAATTGCAAAACGCAGGAAAAACATAGGAATGGCCGTTTAATTGAATCACAGAAAAAACACAGGAATTGGATAAGAGAGATAGACTCAAAGTAAAGTTAGCAAGAGGTTGAAGCTCTAGCTAAATTTCCTCCAAAATCTCTATAGAATTGTCCATTCCATTGGAATTTCAAAGGATTGGATATGATTCAATCCTTTGTTTTAAAGAGCTTCATAGGAAATTTTCCTATATGATTGAAATCCTCTAAAATTTCTATATTTTTCCTCCAAATTAAAGGGGCCCTAAAAATCTGTTTCTTCGGAGGACAAGGAAATAGCAACAGCTGACTCTTCAGCATATTTGCAGAAAAAAAAGATTGCCCCCGGATCGATGGAACGCAGTATGCAACGATATGTAGTGCTAATAAGTATCAACTGGAACCGGCAAAACTAAATTAGCCCCTTTGGCCTTTGCAAATAAAGTGCAAATCGAGACACGAATGGCTTACCGGTGGTTAAGTCGCTGGAACCGCACCTGAGAGAGCGCACTCGTCCGTTTAGGCACAAGCAGCCGATGAATTCCCCGTCTTGGCTGAAACCGCACCGTCCTTTGGACTCCTCGCACTGCGTACAATTGGGGGGCCTCCTGCTATCGTTCACTGACAACAGGAATCCCTGACGAAGAACCTGGCCGTATCCACCCTTCCTCCATGCGTCACCTTTTGGGTCCATCTGTTGATATTTGACCACAGGAACTTCGAAGGTTTTGCAAAACTGCGACCAGTTCCCAGGCGGCACTTGATCCTTCGGAAGCACGTAGGACGGTCCAATGAGACCGATAAAGCTGCAGGTGATCGGGTCGATGTTTTCCGGTGGGAGGAAGAGATTCGGGAAGGAGCAGCCGAGAAAGAAGACGAGGTAATCCAACGACATGCCAGCAGGGAAGAACAGCCATGAGCCCTGTGCGAAGGTCACGTTGTGATCGACTCTTGGGCAGCCGCTGCTGTCGTCGACGACCTCCTTATCGACCAGGGACACGTTGGTGATGCTCCCAACGTTGATGTAGTTAACCTTGTACTTCTCGGCGCCGTTGAGTTGCAGGATGGGCTTGCCGTCGTCACAATCGATCGCCAGGCCGGGGTATCCGCAGTATGAGTTGCTGGACCCGTTGATATATCCCGTCTTATCAGAAAAGTAGAACGGGTATCTGATACTGACATCCCCGCAGGTGGTTGTTTCCTGCAGGCACATGGAGGTGTCGTAGGTGTCATTGGAAGCGCCATGGGAAGCGGCAACCAAGACAAGGAGGAGCGGCAGCAGCCGCCGCCGCCGCCGGCATAGCAGGAGAGGCATGGCTAACGAACTCAGAGAAGGCGTTTTTTGTTTTTGCTTGCCTGCAGATTAATTTGGTGGTGGACCGGTCGTTGCCGCCACGGCGCGTTCCGGTGTTTATAGGTCGCGAGGACACGGCGAAATTCTCAGAAGGCTGCAAACACCGGTGGAGTCATGACAGGGACATGGCGGCACATGATGGGAATTGGGAGGCTGCTTGCTTGACCGCGATCATTTGGGTCTCGCAAAATGGCCAGTTAGTGCCGCCCCTCACTGTTGTTGTTGCGTGGAGGCTCGCGTGTTTTTCAATTGGTTGACGTCCTGGAAGGAGGGTTCTTGGTGTAATGGTGTCCGGAAGGCTTTTCTCTAGAAGATCTGCGTTCCGAGAAATTACTAGTTCAACGCTGTTAATTACTCTTCTCGAACAACATGGACCCCGGCAATGCCCCGGTTCACTCTTACCTATCGGGGTCTACTGCCTTCTGATTGAACACGATTGAGCACGCTTTTGTCCAACCCCTGAAGCACATCCAGCCATCCAGGACCAGGACTCCAGGAGAAACAACATACTCACCTGACCCCCCCAGCCGTTCGATTGATAAAAGGTCTCTCTAGTCATAAATATTTGTTATTTAGTAGTATAAGATTTAGTCAAACTTTAAATAATTTACCTTTATATATTACGTTAAGTTAATAAAACCTAACTATGATATTATATGTACCTTGCCAATAAATCTAATAATCGCAGTGACTGCGCAGTTATCACCGTGAACAGTGAGAGAACCGAACAAAATTTATCAAAAGAAATTAAATTTCTTTGATCTTGGTAGGATTACTGGGCACTTACCATTACTGCACCCTGGCGGTGACCAATGGTAAGAAAAACCCTTGCTTAGAGCCATCCGACATTGATCTTAGGACACCTTAAGTTTGGCAGGTTCATTTTTTAATTTCTTTTTCTTAAGTTAAACTTTTCCATCCAATTATTTCAGTTTTATTGTTTCATATTTTCTGACTTCAGTTTTATTTCATATATTAGTTTCAATATTTTCATACTACCTTTTCATTTACGATTTTTCCCCTCTTTGGCTATTTTCCAATTTTTCAGATTTTCAAGGTTTTGGAAGTGGTTTGCAGCGGAAGCACAAGTGGTGGGGATGGGATAATTTGTTTTGTGAACTTTTTTGAATAGCTTTAAAAGTAGCCTAATTTTTCTAGATAATTTGTAAAACAACCCTCCTGACTTATTTGCATTTTTTGCCATACTAGGCTTAGTGACGTGGCGGGACAACTCTACCGTGGTTGGTGACAAATTACCATCGCTAAGGGCAGTCCTAACCCTCCACCTAGGATGGTGTCTATGGCATTAACTACATTGCCATGTAGGATTTTTAGCTTATGTGGCACTATATTAATTAAGAGAAAAAGTGAAGAGAGAAAGAAACTGGGTCTCATGCAAGACACAGCTTCAACACGAGAACCTATACACTAGACACTATCAAGTTTTGCATTGGGAGAGAATAATGTCTTCATAATAGATGAAGAGTAAATATGATTGGTAGAGAAGAGATATGATGTATTTATTAATGACCCATTTTAAGAAACCATGGGTTGTAAAGTGTAGTTTTTATTGTGATGTCTTATTGACATGGTATCATAGACACTACTTATGGATAATATGGGTTAGGACTGCCCTAATCCAGCTGCTCCTGGTGTACTTTGCGGACGCTGCGCATCCGCAGTGCCCATGGCTTATCTTTTTTATTATTGAGGGACTTTTGTGTTGAAAAAAAAATTCTAAAGATAATTAAAACTCTCTAGGGGTGGTTCACCCAAATTAGCAATAGCCAATTATATGGTCACACCAACTTGTAACGTTTTTAGACGTACAAGAAAAAACTTGTCACTCCAGCATGAGTTCAATGCTGAATTGCTGATTAGTGATTACCACCTACCAGACCATCTTCTCAGTCCTACTGGTCACTTATAGCAAACAGACTCTCTCTTCACACTGTACGGACCTCTGCTCTATAAAAAGCTCCTCTCTTTGTTTTGCCAGCGCTGCAGGCCACCTGATGAATCTCTTTTCACGCAAAGGTGTGGATTTGGCAAAAAAAAAAAAAAAAAGAAAACTAAGCAACTCAGGTTAATCCGTCCTTGTCGAGTGAGGAAATTAGCAACCAGAGTTTCTAATTCTCTACCTACCCACCAAAACTAGGCGATTTTTTTCCGATTAGATCAAGTCAAGAACATAACATCGGCAAGGGGCAGGCAGCCACACCGGGAAGGAGGGGGTAACGACTACGAGATGCAAATTATACCAATCAACGAGATATTGGAATGCTGAGACGGCATGCCAGATGATCGACTAATTGTTGGCTTTACAGAATGGAGGGGAAAAAAATGAAGGATCGGCATCGAAAGACTTACTTGATGTGCAATCCGTGCTGCTCACCTTCCCATCGGCGCACAAGCAACCTAGGAATGTCCTGTTCTGGCTGTAGGCACACTGTCCCCGGGATTGTTCGCACAGGTTGCATTGTTTATCTTTCCTTGATTTCCATGCCAGCTCGAACCCCTTCTTAAGCACTTGACCGTATTCACCACTTGGGAGCGCACTCTGGCTACTTGAATTAAGAATACTCCCATTTACCGGCACGACGATGACCTGGCGGCAGCGACTGGCCAATTCGTACTCCATTGGTGCCTCAAGCTCGACGGAGGTGAACACGAATGAATCTCCACCGTCAGGCCAGTTGCTGAAGTCTTTGCAGTTGATTTGGTTCTTGTCTACAAAACGAGTCAGCCCTGGATCCATTGGTGGTAGTGGTACAAGGTTGCAGCCGAAGAAGAAGGTGAGGTTGTCACGGGGGCCGGTGTACTGAAGCCACTCATCGGCCTGGGAGAAGGTGATGTTGTGGCGCACTCTGGGGCAGCTGCCGCCGCGGAGCGCATCGGTGTCTACGAGCACGATGGTGCGACTGTCGTAGATGATCTCCAGGATAGTATAGTTGTCTCCGTTGAGTTGGATAAAAGGGGTCTGCTTACTCCCGTCCCAGCTGCAAGTGATATTCAAATCGGTGTAGCCGCAAGAAAACTGAGTGTAATCATAGGTTTCGCCGGTTGCGTTGGAAAGATAGAAAGGATATGAGATATTGACGCCGCCGCACTTGTATGATTTGGAGCAAATGGAAGTGTTGTAAGTGTGTGGGAGAGGCGAGCCATCGGAAACGGAGGCATGGACGCCGATGAGGAGGAGGAAGGAGAGGAGCAAAAGCGGTAGGTGAGCCATGGCGGCCAGGCGAAGCAGGCGCATATCTTGCTACTTCGCCGGCTTTTAATCCTGGCACCAATTTGGTTCGGTGAGCCACTGAGCCCGCGGTATAAGACGAGTCGTCGTCATGGAGCAAAGAATGCTGGTTTTGCAAAAGGTTTTGGTTGGTTGTTGGGGTCCGGAAGTGGGCCACACGAGAGGCAGGTGATAGGAAGAAGGAAACAACTCGGTCTCTGCGTGCGTCTTGCGGTGTGTGCCGATTCACTGGATCCACGGTGTCATGAAGGACACGCTGCCGTGTATGGTTTTTAGCTTGACTTCAATGCTAATCACTAAATTAGCCTTGATTGATTAGTTAAATCCGACATTTTTATATGTCGCCCTCCAGAAGATCCTTTTTTATATATAGAACTGAGCACGAGTGCATTTCGCCGTTGGGGATTAGATATCACCGTCGAACGGCACACGAACTGGTACCATCGAGGACGGTCATGATCAACAGACAACACAGGTACACATTGGATTGCTCATCTACTCAGGATGGTCAGGTAGTGCCACTGCAGTTTTTTTTATGATAAACTACTCTGTTTGACAAGAGGATTCTCGCCGCCGGCAGGTAGGAGTTAGTAATAAAAAAAAAAGATGAAAGGATATTTCAATTAATCCTACTACAAGTATACTCTAAAGTCTAAATTTGGTCCAGGTATAGATAATCCATAGGCTATGGTGCCTTCATGAGTGGTGATATGGGCGGCGACAGAACCGCCACGCCCCATCACCCCACCACCGGACCACCTTCCCTCCCTCGCCGTTGCCTAAACATGCCACTAGAATCCGTGCGGTTGCAACGAAGGCAATGGCGGGGGCTTTTTTCCTTTTTCTTCCTTCAACTCCTAGAGACCGTGGCCATGACATCCATGTCACCGTTGACGTCAAGGACGGTTGAAACAGCGAATGACAATTGGATATGGTGCGAGGTTCAGATGAGCACTTTGCGACGATGTTGGGAGCATGAGATGGCATATGGCAGCGATAACCATGCTGCTGGCGATGACATGGATGATGGATCTAGCACCTCGAGCAAATCCAGTGACCCTCCCTCTTCCGCTTGGGCATGAGGCCGCCAGTGATGGGAAAGGCCAGATCTGACATACCGGCTCCTGCTCAGCCCCTGTAGTTGGGGTGGGACTGCTCGGTGGGACGAACCCTAGGGGTAATGACAACGTGGCATGTATAATGGTTGTATGGCATCGGCATGAAGAAATCCTGGCGGCATGACTTGACGCGGCCCATCTAAGCTGTCTTAGGTGGAACATGATTGATGAAGGGGCATCAATGCATCAATCGATGATGTTGGACGGTGATGTGCGATGGAGCTGCAATGGCAGGTGACAAGCAAAATTCTAGCCTTATAGGGGTGATGCGTTTGGGCGTCATGGTCCTTCTAGGGGACGTTGTCGAGGTATCCCCTCTCTCCCACATCTAGGGTTACTTTCCTTAGACGGGTTGTGAAGGTGCTTTCAACATCACATTCTTCTTAGAGGCGTTGCCTAGAAGGTTATGTTTCTTTGCCTATACTGCCTTCAGATTGTTTCAATGGTGCTCTTGGATGGAGATATGCTTTTGTGAGAGACATGTGGATTTTTCTTCTCACCCTCCATTTAGAACCTAATTCTTAGAGATGTCCGGGAGCCAATGTGTGTTTAACTGGTTGGAGATGGTGATAGTCGGAATAGTTGTGGCCTGTTGTAGGACTGGCAGGCAGCAGCGACGTGCAGGTGTTGTTGGTGCCCGTCGGTGTTTTTTTTTTCTTTTTTTCCGATTAAAACCTCCTATGTATATTCTTGTTACCTTTTTCTATATAATAGAAACTTAGCATCGTGTTCATTTTTTTTAACAAAAAGATGATCATACTTGTGCCCATACGGATGCCACATGCTAATCTTTGCGTCAATGTCCCTTTTATGTAAGGAATAAAGTCACGATCTTATCTTAATCGCTTGTTCCAAAATACTCATTTAACTTATGTACTTACTGTTTATTGCCTACGAGACGGTGTTTACATGGCAGTCCAATAAAAAACAATTTTCTAAAAAAGATTCCTTCAGAAAAGTAAAAAATAATTATAGATTCTACTTCTTCCGTTTCACAATATAAGACTTTCTAGCATTGCCCATATTCGTATACATGTTAATGAATCTAGACAATATATAAATATGTAAAAGTTTTATATTGTGAAACGGAAGAAGTACATATCAATATTGTCTATGCCCTTGTCTCTCTCTTCCCTTCCATTTCCACATCCCCTATCCCTCCCTCCTCCCTGCTCCTGTGCTGCCTCTCAACCCCGACAACCCCCATGGCCACCAAAGTCCTTCACGAGCTCCACTGCCGCGTAGCCTCTCCTCATTGATCTCCTCCACGCCGCATGCAGTGCACAGACAACCCTCTCCCTCTTCCTCCCCACAGGCCACATCTCTCTCGCACACAAAAGAGGAGACATTATTTGGCTATGTTTCACCGCCACGATGCCCCCGATCTCTTCTAAACCTTGTCAGCTCTCTAGTCCTACCCAACTCCCCACCTGTTACATAACTCTACAATGGTCGTCAACTCGTCGTCACCAAGAAGGTCATATATTATGAGCCTTCCATCTAGTGAATAATTACTTGAACTTTCTTTTATTAAGTGAACAAGGTGTATTAAACGAGGTAAAAGGTATTTTGCTGAGAGCTAATTGATCCCTAACTATATACTAGTAGTTTAACACCTCCAAATCAAAGAGGCCCAGGGTTTACATTACCGGTTGACGAATTTCTCAAAAATATTACTGGTTGACCACTAAATTTCAAGCCCCATCGGTATCACGGTTTTCAATAAATTTTGATCGGTTTTCGATAAATTTCAACTGAATCTACTGTTTAACCTTCAAAATTCCAATCGAAACTTAATTCCGAGCCATGTAGAAACATCGAAATTTCATGGAATTCAACCGATTTTCGTCGGAATTGTGAACCCTGAAGAGGCCCTTAAAATTTGAATAAAAATCTAGACTATCTGAGAGAGTTAGAGATTCTTAAAAAAAACTTACATCTACTATAAGCTCTCCAAATCAGGGTTTCATATATCTCGCAATTATCGTGGTTACCGTGCTTACCGCGGG